GAAGGCAGAAAAGTGAGTAATGATGGATAGTGAGAAAAATCTAAATACTAAAGTAAAGTTTAGGCTAGTGTTCTGTGGATAAGGAAGTTTGGAGACGACGGTTTTCATCAACTAGAGAAGCTAGCACTGTATGCTGTTGAATGTTAGTCTTAATAAAATAATCTATAGGTACTTAGAAATTCATTCTCAGGGAAACTAGAACCTATTTTCTGTAAAGGTAATTTTAATCTTTTTCTTGGATGCTGCCTTCAGCTGTTTCAAATGAAGACTTATCCAGGTCTTAATATCATTTCCTCACGTGCGCTGCAGTGACTTTGAATGTCATCGGTAAGCATGCTTCCTAAGGGCTTCACCCACAGGACCTACATTATTATAATTGGCATCGCAGGGAGGTGAATAGTGGGTTCCTGTCATTGCCAGCTTTTCTTTTACACGAAGTGTAGTAATACCTTACGTAAAGTCTACTCTTAATAAAATTCTTTTTGAAAACTCTTCACCTGTGCAGTTTCTGGGTTCTGAGGCAGATAAAGAGTCACCTGTTTTCACCTGCAGACGATGATGACAAGCGCATAAAAGATGCACTCCAGGTAGTGACAGTGTGTGTAAGAGTGGTAACTGCCACTTTTATTTACACTTTATGTGCTGAGTTCCCTGACCGTGTGTGTGTGTGTGTATGTTACTGTTATTACTTGAGACAGGGTTTCCTGTGTAGTCCTGGGTGACCAGGAGTGCTGGTCTTCAGGCTAGCCTCGAACTCAGAGAGGTCTGCCTACTTATGCCTCCTAAGTACTAGGATTAAAGGCACGCATTAGCATACCCGGTTGTATATGTTTTTATGCTTATAAATTTTTCATTGTAGTTTCTGTAGTAAACTTTTAGATGTAGATATCCATTTTTCCTATTTAATATATCAAAGAACTGAAAAGCTCAAGACACTTAAATTTGTTTGAGCTTCTTGACGAATAAAAATAACAAAACTGGGATTCAACTCTTTGACTTTTAAAGACTCTACCCATGCAGGTTTTTGATGTGCTTGAAAGCTGAGTTTTACATGTGTGATGGTAACATTCACCCCAGAGTGGAATAATGCGGCCTCATTGTTTCTTTCTCTTCTCTGTCAGATTGGAAGAATGCACTGACAGTTTTTTTTTCTCCAGTCACTACACTGGAATTTAATATGCAGATGAACTCAGTTGCTTTATACTGTTACATATTGTTGTTGTTGCTCTTGTTACTGTAGCATTTTATAAGAGACTTGCTGTGTAACCTAGCAAAGCCTTAAACTTGAAATTTTCCTGCCTCTGCCTCCTAAATGCTGGAAGAGCAAGTGTGCATCACAGTGACATGGTAGGGAAGGTTTTGTTGTTTTGGAACAGGGAGTTACTATGTAACCAGTCTGTCCTCAAACTCCAAAAGCAGTTCCTGCTGCCTCAGCCTTATAAATGCTGGGATTATAGCCATGTACCTATGTTGTCTTACCTTTATGCATTTTTAATTTTATGTAAGCTTGATAAAAGATAGGTTCATATTTCATAAATATCTTGTTATGAAATCCATCCTTACCATGTAGATTTGGTTTGTAATGTTTTATTTTGCATATTTTTATTTTTAAAAATACTTAATATTCATACATGCATATGTTGTATTTTGATCAAGTCTTTCATTCTCTCCCATCCACTCCCCTCTGCAGTTACACCCCCATATTTCATGTACTGAAAATATCTACTGAATCCCTTTTTGTTCAGTTATGTGTATGGATCATCATTGGGAGCACGGGTAGCCTCTTAGAGCCTGAGAAGATTGTCTCTTTCTCCCCCAGCAGTCATCATTTCCTATTTGTGCCATTCCCCTTTCTGAACTTTTGGCTGGCTTAATCGTTTTCAAATCATGTGCATATAGTCCCAGCTGCTGTCATTAATGTGTGCTGTTATGTCCAGCAAATACTATTTCTTTGCAAGTGACTGTTCCTGCTGGTTCTTAGTCTTTCTAATCTCCTGTTCTGTGATATCACTGAGGCACTAATTATGGGTGTAAAGAAAAGAATTTGGAGCACTATACTGCTGTGTCTGATTAACATTTTAATAGCACTAGATTTTTTCCAAAGGGTTATAGTATTTAATGTATATCCATTATTTGTCTATCCTTCTATCCCTTATCAAGTCAATTTAAATTTTATAGCATTGAAAATAGATTATAGGCATCATCATATCACCTCCTAAATACTTCACGTTATTTATCATTAATTATAGTTAAATATCTATATGCATATCTTTTTATTTTAAAATCTGCATTTACTGACATGAATAAATATCTGTAACCCATTTAAGTTGTGATGAATGCTACACCAGTGGAAACTGAATTCCAGTAACCATATAAGGCTCTGAAGTCCCTTTTCTTTCTTTCTTTTTTCTTTCTTTCTTCCTTTCTTCCTTCCTTCCTTCCTTCCTTCCTTCCTTCCTTCCTTCCTTCCTTCCTTTCTTTCTTTCTTTCTCTCTCTCTCTCTCTTTCCTTTCTTTCTTTCTTTCTTTCTTTCTCTCTCTCTCTCTCTCTTTCTTACCTTCTTTCTTTCTTTTTTTTTTAGATGTAGGAAGTAAGACATAGAAAGTTTATCTACTCCAGTTTATACTGCTGATTGGTTCTCCTACCGATTTGACTGCAGGGCTTGCACTCCTAACCACATAGTACTGCCTTTACACTTATTGATATATCTATTTATATTCAGTGTGTAGGCAATGAACATTTAAATGTGTAGACACAGAAACTGATACACTGACTTTAGTGAGAACAGAAATGATGTTCTAAGAATGCATTAGTTCCTCTTGACACCGTAATAGAAATCAAGAGGATTATTTCACTTTGACAAAGAAGTTCCCTTATCAGACTACGAGGGTGAATCACTGCCTGGTGACGTCTTTGGCATTTTTTGTAAGTGGGTTTTTGTTTTTGTTTTGTTTTTTGTTTGTTTGTTTCTTTCTTTCAAGACAGTTTCTCTGTGTAGCCCTGGCTGTTCTAGAACTCACTCTGTAGACCAGGCTGGCCTCGAACTCACTTTGAGAAAGATCTGCCTGCCTCTGCCTCCCAAGAGCTAGGATTAGACTGATAGAGAATTTCCTAGTGACAATGCTGAGGCCCAGGAAACTCCAAAAATACCACTAGAAAAATTAAGGTTAATTACACTCAGTATTTTGTATTAAATAAATTTTTGCTTATTATAATTAATACAAAAGTGTTCACTTATGTGTAACTTACATAGTACCCCTTATCTATATACCCTAGGCTTCAAAATAAAAAGATCAACTATTTTAGAATTCATATAGTTATGAGATTTATAAAAATTTCAACATGTGGACTGACTAGAATTTGCTCTTCCTAAACAAAATGCATAAAAGTACAAGGATCAGAAAACAGTGTATTTTTAAAAATAGGGAGGTTTCAGTACTTAAAAGAAATCCCCCACTTTCTTTTCTGTATTGTGTTTATTCACAAAGCATGCATTAAAAATTGATTAAGATTCTTCTCCTCTCAGTATTCAAATGATGAAAAACTGCTACCCTGTAGTTTGAAAAATAATCCCAGGTATTACTGAATTTGAACTGAATTTGAAAAACAGCATGTCATTAGTAAAACCTAGCCAGTCACTAGAGGGCAGAGAAGCACTGTTTTTATGCCTGATTTGAAATTTTCTGTTTTAAAAATTGCTGAACATGATAGAAAGATAAATTGATGTACACAGCTGAATAGAAGTTTCTTTTCTTTTTTTTTTTTTTATTCTTATTGTCTTGTAAAATCCAGTGACATGCTTCCCACTGTACTGAAGAAGCTTTTCTGGCAATTGCAGTGACTGCTTCTCAAAGGGTATGGTTATTTGAGTGTAAGTATTGCTCAAGAGGACCTCCAAACACTGTTGGTCACAGAGAGTGTGGTTGTTTGTACATGGAGTGTCCTGAAATAGGACTTCAGTGTATGTAGATGCTTAGCTGCAACTATGAGACGATTCCTTATCATTGTCTCTAAGAATTCACTGAAGTGTGGTGGGTTTTCATTTTCCTGATCGGCTCAGATATGTTGGATCATTAATAAGACCTTGAAATATCAAAGTCGTAAAAGCAGATGAATTAATTTTAACTCTTTCTAAAATCTTATCTGTCTGTCTGTCTGTCTGTCTGTCTATCTATCTATCTATCTATCTATCTATCTATCTATCAAAACAGAGTTTCTCTGTGTAGCTCTTATTATCCTGAATCTTACTCTATAGACCAGTATGGCTTTGAACTCAGACAGCCATCTAATCTGCTTCCTAGGTGCTAGGATTAAAGAAGTACACCACCACCACCCAGTCTGAAATTTTTATATTTAAATTTTCTATCATCCTGATATATTTTTATTGTTTTTTTCTGATATGTTTAAAAATATTTTTAGTAACAAACCTTGTTATTGTCCTATAGGATAGAAAAAATTACCTTAAAGTAAGTAGAATTTGAATTTTATTCCGTAAAAATTTGTATTTATATGATATACCTTTCTAATAGGAGCAGCACAGGATATCAGGAAAAATACTGGATTTTGGAATCCGATTCGGCGCTCTAGTTTTTCATTTGTTTGTGACCTTGCGCAAATCACATTACCTCTGATTTTCACATTCAAAACTGGAAAAATGGCATTTTCTTGTCTGCGGCCAGGTTGCTTTGAGCATCGTGTGTGGACCTGGTGAAGATGAATGTTGATGGGTAAAGGTACATGATCAGGAAAACAGTTGATTATATTGCCAGTTTAATGTGACAAGGGCACCACCGCTTCATAAATAGTACCATAAATGTGGACTCCAAACCAAACCCCAAGTTATGATTGCAGACTTCTCTGTCTCTGACTTTCTTGGCTGCTTAATCCCTGCAATTCTGACTAACTCTCAGTTCTGTATGTCCATCCTCTGATTATCTTTGTGTTTCCCCTCTGTGTTTCTCCTGACTGTCTCTGGTCTTTCTCTGTTTTTCTTGTCCCAGGCACCCTAAGGAAGACCCCAAGCCTCTAGCAGATGATATCATCTCCAGCATGTTATAGATGTGAAGGATTCCCTGGGATATTGAGAAATACAAGAGGCGAATTGTTCCACTGTAGTAAGTCAATCAGCATTTATATAGTGACTAATATTCAGAGTACAGCTGCCGATGCCTTGGGAGAAAAGTAGTAAGCTAGAGTACAGTGCAGAAGACACTAGTCTTTCTTCTCGGGGAATGTGGTAGGTTGGCCCCACTGCAAATGAGGACATTTTTAAAGCTGATAAAAATTATGTAAATGAGTTGTATTGTTTGTATGCTAAAGGGACATGTGGTTAATGCTGCATAGAGATCAGGTGGTATTAGCTGAATTTCTCACAGGAGTTTAAAATGTGAGTTTGAAATAGGAATGAGGGAGCAGTAAGGAAAGTATGGAAGTTATTTCTGCAGGCCTTTGGCTAGTGTGCTCACTTCCCTCAGGGACTCTATTGGGATGGTAGTCAAATGAGCCTGATAAATTTTGGCCTAGCAAAACTTAACCTTTTATTCACTTAAAGGAGTTAGGACAAGATGCTGTTTGTTGCCTCTTTTAGAACTTATTATTTAGGCTAAACTGTGACTATGGTTAGTAAGAAAGTTATTAAGCTAGCAGACACTTAGAACGTTCATTGTGCAAAGGTAAAATAGAGAACTAGCATCTAACTTACCTGTTTTATTTTCATTCTGGACATTGCTTTTCTGTTGTATTCAGCAGCGCTGCCTAGTACAACATACCATTCAGATTTGTATATGTATTACATTCTAGTGCTGCTAGCTATGTACTAGACAGCTACTAAATAGTACAGCATCTCAATTTTCTTGTATGCAATTTGCAATCCAAAATCTTTACCTTGAATAGTTCTATGAATTAAAAGTTATGACATTTTATAAGGTTTTAAATCATATTACTTGAAGATACTAAAAAATAACTTTAAAATTGTTTGTTAAAATACTAGATTGTTTCTTTTTAAAAAACAGAAGTTTCCCCAGAGTTCTTATAAAATGTTACATATACATACAAGGAATATTTATTACATGTAACTGAAGTATGAAGAATAACATGAATATGAATGAGCACCTATCCTGGCTGAGGAAATAAACATAGTGTCTTTGTAGTTCACTGTGTGATCTGCTAGATACTACCTCGTGAATGTTGGGCATAGGGCTCCCATGCTTTTCTTGAGTGTTTTTTTCTCATTTTTACTCTGATCATTTATTAATGATCAGAACTGTTTTATAGCCTTTCATCATGTGAAAATGACATACTTCACTTTCTTTTGATGCCTGTTTAGTCTGTGTGTGTGTGTGTGCATGTATATATGAATATTTGTGTTTGTGTGTATATATGTGTATCGGTACATGAGTGCCTGGGTGTTAATTGTAGGACAAGTTAATGCTCAATAGATCCTTCCCTAGGTACATACTGTTTATCAGTGTTTGTGAAGAACTGCTAGGTCAAAGGTATGCCCAGCTTCAAATCTGCAAAATGGTGGGTTTTCATAGGCCCCACTGCTTGTCTTCAAGTTCTCTGAAATTGTTAGGTTTCTGTTTAGGTTTTTGCCATATCTTTATGTCCTCTGAGGATATTTCTGTTGGGGAGGGCAGAGGTTTTTTTTTAAGATTGATTTTTCTGTGACACGATCCCAGCAATAAGCTTGATAATCCTTATATTTAAGTGAGTTCTGTTGGAGACGTGACTTGTGCTGTGTTTAGGCAGTAGTCACAGATCCTCTCTGGCCAAGTTGAATGTAGACATCCGCAAATGGCTGTGGATGCTTGCTCGGCAGCAGCTTTTCTCCAAAAAAAAAAAAAAAAAAAAAGTGACAGTACAGAGCTCACTTACGATGAATGAAAACGTTAGCCGTGAACTTCTCAAGACCGTGTGTGCAGAGAAATGGGTATGTTTTGTCCAAATTTCTCTTCCCCAATTCGAGTTGAGATAGTGACATGCAAAGAATTTTTGCCCACTGCAGTGATTTAAACTTGACTGTTGTTTGCCTCAAGAAAGTTCTAAACCCTTGAGCGTGACTCCAGGTGTACTTGCCAGTCTCTCCATTTATGTCCGTCAGTCACTTTTCATTTTCTTAGTAATTCTTCTGGTGTCTATTACATTTTTATACAGCTCATTCCAACTTTAATATCCAAAGTTGTTGTTGATCTTGTGATCTGAGTAGTACTTAGTGGTCTGTAACTTTAGCTGACAGTATCAGTGTTTTCCCTCTGTCAGGTACTACTTACTCATCAGCATTCTGAGACCCCCGCAGAGGGGTACCACGGTTTAAACCACTAGGGTTGCTAGTACTTACATAGCTAACAGTTGCTTATTGAATATAGAAAGGAAAGTTGTAAGTGCAGTATGCCCTCATATATCAGTCCTCTGCTCCGCAACAATCATTTCACCAAATGATTGAGGATTGAAAGTAATTCTGCTAGTAGGTGGCTGTGTTAAAACACAAGCAAATAAACAATGGAATCTTGAACTTCATTCTTGAAAAATACGTCTCCTAATTGAGATGAAAAATTGTTGCTGTTGTCCTGGCTCTGAGTCAGCAGCTGGAATTTGTAGACCTAACTGGGCTTTAGGTCCCTATTTGCATCACAGCAACCTGCTTAGTTGTGTCTCATGACCATAACATGCAGGCCATACATTGGACTTCCCTTTCATTGCTTAGGATTGGATTGTTCTAGAGAAAGAATACATTTTTTTCTTTTTTAAAGCAAGTATAATAAATGCCTTGACTTTCCTACTTCATCAGCACTAAAGCTTGAGTTCTGCCTTTTTGCCTCTACTTCTTACCCCCATTACTGTGGTTGTGACCAGTCTGATCCATCCTACCCTTTTTTACTTGCTGTCCCACTTAATCCCAGGTCTTTTCTCACACACCATTTTTGAATTGTGTTAGACTTTCGTGGAGGTGATGGATCTGTGTAACTGTTGCTGGAAGCAAGTTGTTCCTGGCTTTCTGCTCTGGTTCTTCCCCTAGCGACTCCAGCTAAATGGCACAGAGGGGCCAGGCTCCTTTCCTTGCTACCCTCCCTCTGTCTTCTCACGCCTATTGAAGCTTGGTTCTTACAATTCTTATGTGACGTAGTTTTCAAACTTTGTTGGTAAGCTCCTCTGAACTAAGCACTGAAAGTAATGATGCCACAGATCAGGCTGCAAAGGATAGAGCATACCTCAGCTTTCTGTATATCCTAAGCATCTCTGCCTGGATCCCATGGAGAGCTCAGTATTTGACCTTTAGCCCAGATCAAATAAATGGTTCCCTTTTGACCTTCAGGGTTAGAAAATAATTTGATCTCATTAGTATTATTCATCTGCTTTTGAAATCCCCATGTGTAACAGTGTTTACATTAAAGAGAAGAGTTAGGTAAAGGGAGAAATTTTAATATACAAAATGAAAAAAGATGAAACAGTTAATGAAGGATTTATTTTTAATAAAATTCACCTATTTCTAAATCAAGGTTGGAATTGAAAAAAAAATTGTCTTAAACTTTTTTTAATACTAGATTACTTATCATTAAAGGTATAGTTGTTACCTCCCACCTGTAGCATTCATGGACTGCAAACACCTGAGATCTGTTAGACTGTGTAGGTCTGGAGACAAGAAGAAAGACATACTTTTTTACCATCTGCTTACTTAACCAAACTCTGGGAAAACATATTTTTCCAAGTGTTCTGTTTTCTAAAGATGTAGTTAGCCTTCTTAGCTGAAGAACACGTTAGTTTTTGTTGCTTAGGAATGCAAGGAGAAAAGCATGCCTTCGTGCTTGTAAAAGAAAAATCTGGAATTATATGAATTGAAAATTTTACTGATAGGAAAATGCTTTTGCTAACCACTCTCATATTGTCTCTTTGATTAATGTAAAATGCTTGATCTATTAAGTATGCACATTAATATTTCAAATTATCAGTTTAAGTTTCTTTTATACTATTAATTCACTTAGCACTTTATTAATTTAGTTAGACTTCAGAGTGCTTTGCCAAAGCTACAGCTGTAATTTAGTATTCTTAATTTAATGTCTTCTGAATGAGAGATATGGTCCCTGATTTCAACTGCAACAAATATTAAAAAAAACTTCTAGTATTAACAGGTTGGAGTATTCATAAACACAGTGGAGAGATTAACAAATATATAAACTTTTAACAGAAAATTTTTCTTTCTGAAGGAAGATAGAAGTGCTAAATTAAGAGTAAAATTTCAGTTATGTATTCAGTTTTATTCTTACTTTATGGCTGTTTTACAGCAAACCTGGAAATGAATATAAAGACCCAAAGTTGATCTGTACTTAATTGTTCAAATAATTATGCTAAAGGCAGATTTATATGTATTATTAAAAAGCATTTGGTAAAGTAGTTTTCAGCAGCCTCATAAAAGTTAGCTGTTGCTGGAACAATATTCATTTTGTCCAAGAGTTCACATATGGGTAAGAAAGCTGTGAAGAAAAATGAGCAGTGAATCTTTTTTCCTGAAGTTAATTTTCCAATATGTTGCCATTTATTTTGCTACTTGGAAAATCCGCATTTCTAAAAGGCTGACTAGGTATTGTTGAATAAAAAATAAATCACGAAGAACAGAGAAGATGGCACCTTAAGGTTGATCATTGTTCTGGGAAAATCAGTGTCCTCAAGGATGATTGCCTGGACACCAGCACATTTTAAATAGGGTTTTCTTCTGCATGTCTGCCAAGCCGCTGCCTCCTAACTCTCTGATTGTGTATGTTTCTTTCATACTCAGCCAGCTGACACTTAACTTCCTTTCTCTGTGCCTGCCAAGTACTGTGTTTCCTTTGAATGGTGGCATCATTGCCCTTAGGTTAAAGTCTGCTTTGAGCTTAGAGGAATTTTGGCTGCTTTTGAAAAATCCATTTATGGTTATTTGCTGTTATTTAACCCTTACATGGCACCTATAGATAGATTTGTTATAATTAGGCGGTGTTGCCTCTATAAATCTTGTGCTGTTCAGTGAACTGGGTGTTTTATCACTTAGCAACCCACGAGTCTCTAAGAACCACACTTGACCCAATGAAACCAGTGCTTTGGGAATCTGAATCAGACAGCCTTTAGATTAAGGGGTCCC